AGAGAGAGAGAGAGAGAGAGAGAGAGAGAGAGAGAGAGAGAGAGAGAGAGAGAGAGAGAGAGAGATCTGCTTTGGAATCTCCAAGAGGGGACAATTGGTGGAAAGCACCCAGGCCGAGACTGAGAGCCAGTTTTTTAAAGATGTTTCAGTCTGTCTCACTAACCTTGTATACTTTGGAATTCAGCTTCCCTACAGCTCCGAAAAGCTCAATTGAGCTGAGTACCACTTGAGCTTGGGGTGATAAAGCTTGTGTCACGTCTTCCATGGCATCATTATACGAATTTTGCTTTTCTACTTAGAAAAGTGAAATCTTGAGAGAATAACGATCTGGATGGGAAGTAGAGTAGAGATCTGCCAGTGTATATGAGGTAGAGCAACCCAAGAAACGTGTTGTGTTTACCCAACTCGACTCCGGACCCGAATTGCCATAATGTTGGGATCAGGGGAGCCGAGACGAGGTTGATGAGGTGAGATGGGAAGAGGGGGGCCGGATCGGGATCAGGTGAAGGCAAGGTCGGGATGGGTCGGGGACAGGGCTGGGGCTGGACGGGGGGGGAGCCGGGATCGGAGTGGATGGGCGGAGAGGGAGCCGGGATCAAGGGGGAAGGCGGGAAGGATGGGGACAGTATGAGTCGAGGACGGGGTCGGGATCGGGGGAGCCAAGACGAGGTTGATGAGGTGAGATGGGCAGAGGGGGTCGGGGATGGGCGAGGGATGGAGCAAAGAGGATCGGATCGAATGCCTGAATCTGGATGTGTTTTATGCAGAGATGCAGAAAAGCAGTTCAATCTCGACTTCCTGCACCTCTCCACAAACGCATCCAGATTCAGGCATTTGATCGGATCCTCTTTGCTAGTGGGACCACGCCCCTGGAAGTGCGCTTTGGAAATTGTGTTGGATGATTGAAAGTAATGGAAAAAAAAAAGAGAAAAGAAAAAAAAAAAAGAGAACGGAAACAATAAATAAGGAGGACAGACACATCAGCACGAAAGTGAGAGACACAGACGGCAACCTGGGCCCTGAACTTCCACAATACGGTAACACTCACTTCCAAACTCTGTGATCTAACTACTACCCTTATCTACGCATCTTTTTTTTTTTTTTTTTTTTTTTTTTCCATGGTGTTGTAGAGGCCAGTCACTGAGTATACAGTGATCACCTGGAACAGTAGGCCATGGGTGTCCTGGAATATGAGACCACCTCCCAACCCTCCGGCTGCCAGTCCGTGATGAGGACAAAAGGCCTTTCGGGATCCGGCCTTATAAGGACCGGAGCCGAAATAAGAGCTGCCTTGATCACACTCTGGCGTCCAAATCAATGGTTGATCCTTTTTCAACAGATTCGTGAGGGGACCCACAATAGCCGCGAAGCCCTTGATAACCCTTCTGTAGTACGAGGCCAGACCCAAAAAGGTGCGAACTTGCGTGATAGTCGTGGGCACAGGCGCGTCTCTCATGGCTGCCATCTTTTGCGGTTCCAGTCTGAGTCCCTAGTCCGTCACCACGTGTCCCAGGAAGGAAATGGTGGTGAGAAAGAACTGACATTTCTCAAGCGCCACCTTGAAACTGGCATCTCTCAATGCATGCAGCGTCCATTCGATGTGCTGCACATGCCCTTCGAAGGAACTTGAATACACCAGAATATCATCCATATACACAATCACACAATAATTGATGATGCTCTGCGCCAGTCGTGTCTTCCGCACAAAGTTCTGGAAAGCCATATTCATGGCTCGCTGGAAGGTTGCTGGAGCATTGCAGATGCCCATTGGACATCGAACCCATTGCCAAGTACCTTCGAACAACACAAACGCCGTTTTTGGACGGTCCTCCTCTCGAACAAGAAGATGATGAAACCCATGACGAACATCAAACTTACTGAAAAATCGAGCACTCCCAATCGCATCCAACAACTCATCAATCCGGGGAAGGGGGTATACATCTTTGATCGTGATATCGTTCAGCTTCCGATAATCGATACATATGTGAATCCCTCCGGCCTTTTTGGGCACGATTACCACATGGAACGACTAAGGTCCTATAGCGGGTTCGATCCATCCATTAGCTTCGAATTCCTTAATTCGTTGAAACGCGGCCGCCCGTTGGGCTGGCGAGTATCGGTAAGGAACGCAACTAATGGGTGGATGATCCCCCGTAAGGATGCAATACTCAATCACGTTAGACAGTCCGATATCGTTATCGCACACACTTAATACCTCTACGTACTCATTTAAGACGTTAATCAGTTATTTTTGAAATTCCAGAGGGACGTGATTCGGCAGAGTGACTGCTGGTCAATCGGGTATCTCAAGAGGCATGCCGATCCAATCATCAGGTTGATTTCGTCAGTCATGGACGCTAGAGAAAATAGAGCTGCTAGTGCGAACAGAAAATACAGTCGCAATCATATGGGATTCAACAGGGCTAATCATCTCGGTTTCTTTAACTTCGGTGTCAGTTTCCGCATCAGCTGTAGTTTCTTCCACGATTAGTCCTATTGAATCCACCATTAGTCCTATTAAATCCACCATTTCTTGCATTAGATCGGACACATCGTCGACGGGAGCTTCGGTTTTCCGTTTTATCAGAGCGATCTGTTGTAAGTAGCGACCTTGGAGGGGAAGCAGAAACATCCAGATATTGTTTCCCCTGTTGATAGCGTGCTCAGAGGGAAAGTGTTCCCTCGTACAAAGTGCGAGGGGGTTCCAAATCGTCCGCTAGGTCAGATATTTGCAAGATGGGTTCCCCAAGAAAGGTCGAGGAACTGACCTGGGCTCCCGCAGGCGCGAGCGCGTTATCTTCCAAACTCAAGTGGAAATTTCGTGTGGTCTTAGGAACCATCCGAAATTCCTCCGGAGTTTCGTGCTTGAAAAGTTCGACTAAGTGTTTCCATTCACTCTCACTAGACATCTCTTCTTCGCACTCCTGCTCTTCGAATCCGCTACTATTATCTGGAGATGGAAATTCCTTGTGATCAGGACCTTGAATCATCCCTATCTGAGCAGAATCAAAAAAAAAATTAACTGCTCGGTTGAAAATCCGCAATGGAACTGTCTGGGGCTTTCCACCTGTTTGCGTAAGCACCAACTGTTTGGAATCGAAATGCATGCGGGCACCTACCGCCATTGCCCAAGGCAGTCCCAACAATACCGAAATGCATGCGGGCACCTACCGCCATTGCCCAAGGCAGTCCCAACAATACCGAATATGAGTGCACATCTATGACCAAGGCGTTAACGAGGACGTGTACTCGTCCAACTTTTACAACCACATTCTCAATGACTCCTACGATATTCATTGCTTCCTCGTCAGCAGAGACGTAGTTGTCTTTGCCAGATTGAGGGAGAATCGAGTTGAGTCGTTCCGTTCTTTTCATGTGTCTAAGTATGGGTGAGGGCATTAAAAGGTTTGCCCCATACTTCACAATCACATTCAACACTTTTCCACAACACTGGTCGAGCTCGCACGAAATGATCTTTCTCAGCTAAAGAAATCGTAGCTACTCGCGTTGCTTCGGGTTCATCAACTTCGGGTTCAGGCGGTGCA